CATAGCTGCCTGTAGCTTCAAGGCAAACACAAATGCTAAGAGGTATTAAACACTCATAAACAAGATAGCCTGGAGCAGCTTATCAGTTAGGTGGTAATGGGTGGGGAAAGGCTCACTATATATTTAAAGCCCAGTTGTTTTCCCACTGAATTTTGCCATGTCAGTAACGGGCCAGGGAGAGGAAAACTCTTGTGTGTTTTAGCCTGGAAATATTGCTCAGGTCAGTCAGTTCTAACTTGCTCCTGCTGTGGCTACTGCTCGCTGTTCCACCAGGGTGTAAGGGCAGCCTCAGGCCAGCCACTCTCTGACTCATGAGAGGAAAGAGACAAGGGCCAATGCCGGCTCCATTTTTTACAGCTGGGCCACCACTATGGCAGGTTACTCCCATGGCAGAATGGAGATTACCCAAAAGGATAAGAGGTAATATCCCTGGCAGCAGAGGCCTTACTAGCCAGCCATACAGGAGCATCTGGGGGAGACTCTGCCCTCAGATTATTGTTTGGTTGGAAAACAAATGAGCAGATGAAGACATTATCACCCTCTGTTGCTTGATACCACTCTACCACCAAAGGCTAGAGTGCAGCTGAGACACAAGGACACTTTTACTATTATCTGAGCGAGAGGTATCATGATTAATCTGATAGAAATTATTGGTGCTTTAGTCCCTTCCACACCTTCTAGGTGAATCATTTGGCTGGCTTGAATTGTCTATATCATCTCCTATTGGGATCAGATGACTGCCAGTTCTGGTGCAAAGAGGGGACAGAAACACGGGGTAGAAGCTGTAAGGACCTGAGGCACAGAAGTAGTGCTGTTTTTGGTGGGCATAAACTACTATAGACTACATCTGAATATCTCTAGTTCACAGTCTTCTGTCTAGTCTAATCCCATGTCCTTGGAGATTTCAACTCAGATGCCATTTGGAGCAGCTCTGCCCTGGACATATGTTGACCGTAATCTTTGCCAGCAGAGCAGTAAAAACAGCTGGGTGAGTCAGTCACCTCACCATCATTTGCCAGACCTTATTTGTCAGAGGCCTAAATCACAACACAAACACTAGAAATCAGCCCAAAATGGATATGGCTGGCCACAAGACCTGAAAATTCTCTGAAAATGTGCAGTCTAGCTCAATAAATAGTGCCTTCTCCAGGACAGATAATTTGGGTTCTCCAAGCAAAACAGTGTCAAAAAGAAAAGCAAATCACACCAATATTTTTGGCAATATGGAAACATCCCTGAATATTACAAGTACTTAGTACGCAGGCAGAAGCTTCCAGTGTAGATCCACATTCACTTCTGCATTTCCGGAGGTGAAGAGGGGTTTTCAGTCATGTTGAGCTAATACAACCGAGCCAACAGGAATTAAAGCTATGCCCTTTACTGCCTGTTGAGACATGGTGAAAGAAAGCAGCTACCTTAAATCAAAGGGTCCAGATTCAGGGAGGTACTCCAGCTAGAAATCAGAAGAAAGTTTACAGATACTTTGATAACTTGAGCTTTTATCATTCCACAGGCCCCAAAGATCAGTTGGTGAGAGCTGAGTAAGTTTCCTCATATGGTATTTGAAGGTAAAGACAATCTACATTTGCTTCCCACAGGCAAGCTCAGGCAGCTACAGCGTGTTATAAAAAGAGGAGATTAAATGCAAGTTTTGCAGCACTACTGTCTGCAAAGATACAATCAGTTCTATCATTAGGAGCTTAAGAGTTAGGATTTTAAATCTGGTGTAGGCACCTTTGAAGCACCAGTTTTGTCAAGAATATCCCATGCTTTGTCCTATCTTGAAAACTGAATTGTTTAGTTATTAGAAGAGATTAATGTAATCTCTGTGTCTATGAAATTGGCTTTTGAAACTGCTTGCTTACTGTACTATCTCCAGTGCAGTGAATGAAATCTCTGCTGGTATTCACGTTGCTATGAATTACGGGTCATACCTTGTTTGAGCCCAGCATGTGCTGGCATCGCCAATGGGACAAAGTGCTTGGCAGGCTGCAGAAGGAGGCTCATTAGCTGGCAGGGAGAGGGAAGCTGCTGTTCTCCAGAGGCCACCAGCAACATACCATGTTGCTTTGGACCCTTAAGTGAAAGCAGGCCCAGTAAGAGGTGTACTGAGATGGCTGGGGAGAGGGTACACAGCAGGAGTGGAGCTTGGGGGAGTTGGGTGGGTTTAGTCCATAGGCAGGGGGATGGAGGGTGATTTAACAGGAGCCTATTGCAAATCATGCCTCCCTCAATGGGGACTGACAGAGCCCAATCTCTCCTGCAAGCAACAAATGGACAAATGAGGGACAACAAGTCCAGGCTGGAGCTTGGGAGAGGAGAATGGACATTAGGGAAAACATCTCCCAAGAGGGAGACTCTCCATTCTCTGTGTTTGGAGGCTTTGAAGACTTCACTAGACAATGCCAAAGCTGATCTGATGTAGTGTGATAGTCCTGTGCTAAGCAGGGCCTTCAGAGGACCCTTCCAACCAACATTTCTGTGTTTCTGTGCTTTTCCTAGTGAAGCAAATGAACACTGTTCAGCTCCATGAATATGTGGGTTTTTATGCTAGCTAAGGAGCTGGTCCTGCAGTCTTCCTTCTGAGAAACTAACAGTAAAGGTTAAGAAATCCTAGCCCTCTCCTCCATGTTGCCTCCTCCTCCCTCAGCCAGCAGCAGCATGTTGCGCTCTCCTCCAGCCCACACTTTGCCACAGAAACATGACTTGTGGTCCTGTATACGTGGTCTTGCCATGAGTGTTGACAGTCCAGCTGCTTCACTCAGATTTAAATGATAGAAGAAGGGATATCCCAGGGCAGGAGGCAATTGCTGCCGGTATTTCTGCTTCTTGTCAACTAACCCAGACCATGCTTCCTTGTAGCAGGTTCTGTTCCCTTGACGATCCTGGCGATAGTCCTTTATTTCTGCTTCCACACAGACACTTCAGGAGGCTCCTTTTCTGCTAAACAGAGGAACCATGAAGCATTCTCTGGCCACCTGAAGCAATTTTTCTCTCTGTCCAGAGATTGGCAACTTCACGCCCCAAACTCTGTAATGCTTGCTAGTTCTTTTCATCCTCTGGGTGTCCCCTCTTTTGGGAAAAGGGGACCTATTTGCTGAGTTTTTACTTACTCATCATGGCAGCACTGGCAAGACAAGCTTCTAACAAGGCATCCCTCTGCAGTGCTGCAGCCCTACAGTGCTGCCCTGGGTAGCAGGTAAAATTAAAAACATAGGTTTTTAGTTGGTATTCTTTCCTTTTTGCAGCAGCTGAAAATCTAACTTGTTTTCTGTCTTTCCCAGAAGTAACCTTGACTGCAGTGGCTTGAGAAGTGCCCTGGCAGTAGCAAGGTTCTTATTAATGACTGATTGCTGCAGCACAATGGATGATTTGATGTTCTGATACAGGGAGAATAGCAGAAGAGAAAGAAGTCAAATGAGGGGGTGCCTGTAGTTGTTATGCTTCTCCCGATCCACCTGGCAGAGACTGCAGAAATGGCTATATGACTAATGGAAGTGCTTGTGCAACATGGGGAGCCTCACACCCCAAAACACCACAGGCACAGACAGTGTCACCACCAACACTGCTGCCCAACACTGATGGAAGGGAAAAAGAACCAACATCTGTATCCTCTGCTCTCAGACAGAAAAAAAAATCTTTTGTATTTTGATTTCTTTTGGACTTCGTAAACAGTTTTAGACACTGTTTATATACAACTTGCTTTGTCCAGTTGGATACTTGTTCTGTCTGTTCTCTCCAGCTGTAAGCACCTCCTCACTAATTGCTGTTTCTTTGGCCAAAAGCTTTACTTTTGCCTTCTGAATTCCATAATGAATTGACAGCACACACATAAAAAGCTCCAATAATGCCCTCAATGTCTCCCATGGCTCTGAGATGCCCTCAAGGCCAGACCCAAACTTCAAAGTGAAGACGTGGCACTAAAGTGCTGCCTGACTTCAGGGCTTCTCTCCACCCAAGAGCATGCTGGCAGCCGAGTGCCTGTGCTAGCCTTTTCACCCCAAACTATATTCAGTCCACAACGACTTGTTCCCAGCAGCTCCGTTTGTTCTCCTCAGCTGACAGACAGCGGCCCTACAACCTTTGGTCACTGTCCCAGGTACCCTGACAGGGCCAGTCATCATTTTAGGGAGCTCTGCAGCAGCAGTATTGTGGTAGCTATGATGATCCTAATTACAACTGAATTCGGACAAAACGAAAGCAAAGATGGCATCATGGAAAAATGCACACAGAGCAGCTACAGTTCCCTCAGAGCTGCACTAGCACCAAACACTGCACCTTGCTGGAATGTGCTTCAATTAGAAAGCCCACCCACATGAAACACATTTTCACCTGTCAGGGACACTGTCACAAGGCCTGCGGGGAGCTGCTACACATACTGGATTGTATGCATGCTTTGGAGCTCGAGGAGTACCAGCAAGTGCTGGGAATTAACAACATTTTATACACACGCACAGCTTTACACGGTCTTACTGGTATCTGAACGTTTGCTACTGCTTACAAGACAACTAAGTTCTGACCTACCTACGGAAAGGATCTTGGGTATTTTTTTTTAAAGGCACATGGATAGGTCAGAATGGAATCATAGAATCATTTATGTTGGGAAAGAGTTATAAGATCTTCAAGACCAACCATTAATAGATCACTGCCAAGTCCACCGCTAAACCATGTCCCTCAGTGCCACATCTACGCATCATTTGCATACTTCCAGGGATGGTGACTCAACCACTTCCTTGGTCAGCCTGTTACAATGCTTGACAACCCTTTCAGTGAAAAAGTATTTCCTAATATCCAATGCAAAGATTCCTTTCCCACTTTGAGACAGGTGTTCAGTGCTCTGTCTGTCACCAGCAGCAATGCTGTCATGTAAACCAACCCACAATCAAAAATGACAAAATTTTGCAGTGACACCAGGCTCAGAGCCAGGTATTGATTTGCTGGCTCTTTCTGTTTCTTCCCTCATCATTCCCTGCAACTGGAATTATAAGGGAGAACAGTACCTGTGCTCCCGACCCCTTAAGCAACCATCCTGAAGCCCTGAAGTCTCTCCTGATTGCTCTTGGACGTCTTGGTGCAACTTCATTGCCGCCAACCTGAAAAAACAATAATGGATAATAATCTGAGGGCTGTATGACGCTACTTAGGAAAAAGCCCAAGTGACTGCTATACTTTACATTTGGTTCTACCTTCTCCTGGTGCCATGATCCTGCCCATATCCATTCAATTTTTTCTTACAGTGAACTGCTTTGGAGCATGTGTGTCTTGTTCCTCACTGACTCCAATGTAGCATGATTCTGCTTATGAGCACTGGCTCTTAGGGACCACAACAGTGACATTAACAAAGTTAGCAGAATCTCTATGATAAAATGCCTGGTTACACTATTAATAAAAGCCATCCACATATCTATAGAATTATTAGTTAATGCTGCTCTGCCTTTGGCTAGTGAAGCATAACTAGGTTATAAAGACAGATTTGTATTGATAAGGCTTCTAGACTGAAGAATTAAATTATATTTACCATCAGCAATGTGTTGTTAAAAGTATGAACTGAAAACTCACTAGTCACCAACCTTTAATATTGCCTGAGCACCAGAAAACCTGAAAAAGAAAAGTTCTTGACTCTGGCCCAGTAGGGCTGCCACTTAGATATTTTTGAAATTTAATTGAGCAAACGTCATCATTCCTAACACAAACCATCTTGCAGTGAGCATGCTTTTGAGCGCTCAAAGCAAAGCAGAAAGGAACACTAGAACCCTTAAGAGTTAGAAATTATTCCCATATTAGGTACTATTTCCACAGTGAGCTGCATTCCCAGTTTATCCATTTTCATTATGCCAATTTATTGCATTTGTGTGTTAGGGATGTGCGTTTAGATTAAAATCTCATTTTTGTAGGTGCTACGTGAACAAGTCATGAGACAGTCCCTGCTCCTGGAGACTCCAACATAGTGCCACGGTGACCTGGAAGCAGAGGATAAAGGACATGGCCAATAGGGAGAATCTGCAAATTGATGTGTCCAGCAAAAAAGCACATTCTTCAGAGCAGGCAAAACCTTGCTTTTAGGAGAAAAATTGTATGACACGAAAATGCACATGGGCTATGCAGACATCTCATTTATATTTAAGGGTAGCTGTAGTGCTCTGTCTCATAAAATGAGACAGATTAAAAGCCTAAAAAATTTCAGTCCCCTCCATCTAGGGAACAAGTGTATCAGGTGACCATGTTCCTCCACAGCAACCTGCCAATCCAAAATTTAAATGGATTTGGGAAGGAGAGGACAGTTCAGGCTCTGTACCCATTGCAGCTTGCCCTGTCTGTTCCCACTGCCAGCAATAGCAGCATCTTCACCACTGCAATCTTCCTATTCTCAGAAAAAGGGGCTAAAAGAACTAACACTTGTACACCTCAGATGTGACAATAAATCCCCCCACTGTCTGCAGTGTTTTATAACAGCAACTTTTATTTTCCAAAGAGATTTTGGCATGGAGGAGCCTGACTGTGATAGTAAATGTGTGGGCATGTCAAGTAAATGACTGTTTGAAAACAGGGCTCAACCATGTAGCTAGAAAGTCATGAAGGACTTCAAGATGTACCAAGTGAAGGTGCTGCACGGCCCAAGGTGCCCCCAGGATTAGGATCAGCACAGCCACATTGGTCAAAGCCTGGCTGAACAAGCTTTGCTTTTTTGCTGCCATGTAACCCAGCGCTAATGCAGGTATCCTCGCGTCCTACCCTCACTAGCACCTCTGCCTGGCACTGCACAGCAGCAAATGGTGGTACCAGCTGGAAACAGCTGCTGCGGGGGTGCAGTGGGGACACATCTGCAAGCTTACACATCCTCTCTGTGTGGGACCTTGGTCTCTCCTTAATTCTCAGAGACGGCCTGAGAATCTGTTTTATAGGAGCTGGTAGGACCCAGTGGCGCAGATGGGACATCCAAAGTAGCTTTAAATCCAGTGGGGGGGGCAAGCAGCTGAGAGCAAGTAGTGGTGAGACCAGACACTGGAATCTGAAGGTATAGGCAACAGATTATTAATGAAGAGACTTGTTTAAGTGTCTTGGTAATGTGGCGGTGAGAAACCTTGTTATTACTGCTTCAAAAAGAGTGCATATATAACATGGTATTGTGAAATCTTGAAATCTTTGTACACAAATACAGTTAGGAGAAGAAAAAAGGAAAACTTAGCCATATTTCTGAATATACTCTCTTCCGAAAATAATGTTGACACAGCTAGAACAGGCCTGCTATATTCAACTCTCATGCACGTCTTCATTCCTATGGCTTAATAATCATAACGAAATATGAGGGGAAGATAAATAGTCTTCATTCCACATCTCTGAGGATAATAGTAAGAAGGAAGAGATTTCAAACGTTGTTAATGACTTGTAGAGCTGCACATTGCTTAAAACATTGACCACAAGCCAAGAAATACCCCTCAAGGCTGCAATCAAAAACAGTTTTTGGCTCTGCGCTGTGAACAGAAACTTTATTTGATCAACAGTTATTGCAAGACTTGCTGTTGAGAGTCTGGAAGCTCCTCTCTAATGTGGCACCCCTCACTGCAGCCAAAGCCTCCTGCGTGGCAAAACTCTGGGCTCATGAAATGCAGCTCTGGCTCACAGCTTCAGGTTAATCATGATGACCACTGAGGAGAGCTTTGACGCTTCCCCCTTGGCTGCCATAGAAGTCTGTGTAACTTTTCACGGGGAAATAAGAGAGATCTGAGACTGGCAAAAAAACGCCTCTGTTTTTGTGACCGGATGTTGAGTTGGGAGAATGAAATCAGCGGAACTGGATTTTGTGAAGAGGTTCAGCTTTCTGCTTTCAGCAGCTGTACAAGTACAGGGGCAACCCCTGGCCTATGAGCCTCGCCAGGCTAAGAAGAAAACAGATGTGTATGAGGCCTCCTGGCCAGAAAATCACCCACCTGCCAGAGAATACTGGCAGAGAGAAAATGAAGGAACTGAAAATTATTTTTTAAGAGAGTTCCTCAGAAAAATGACAGACTTTCTCAAAATATTTTAATTTTTTTTTAAAATGTGAAAAGTAGACATTTAAGTTGAAATTTGGAAAACTGAAGGTCTATTATTCCTATATCAGAAATGTGTTTTCTTCAAAAAAGAGTTTCGAGAAGTGCTTAAGAGAAGTTGTTAAGAGCAGAAAGTAATTTTCAACAAGAAACAACAAGCTATACTGATCGAGAAAACCAAATGATACTGACTACTCCTGAATACCACACACCAAATCCTATCCAACTAATTGCTTAGGGACATATGGATATTTGGCATCTCCATGCTGGTGGTTTGGTGATCTGGCAAAAGAGAACCTTCCCCAACCATGAGAATAAAATTAAAAAAAAAAAATAATAACAGGCCCCTGTTCAGCAAAAAGAAACCAATGGGGCACAGAGAATTCTATGTATGTCAGAGACACAAGAGCTCTGATGCAAACCAATCATGAGTTGCCTGAGATCCTTGGGAGAGAATAAGGAATTTCAGACTAATGTGCCATAGGAGAGAGCCCTAGAGCCCAGACAAGCAACTGGGTGCTCACAGAGGTCATGAGCAAAAGGGCCAGAATACAGAAAAACTAAACAAGTTGGAAATAGATGTATTTTGAGTGTGTGATGTATGCTGACCCCAAAACTGGAACAGGTTGCCCGGAAAAGTGGGTGTCCCATCACTGGAAATGTTAAAAGTCAGGTTGGATGATCCAGTGACAGATGTCCCTGCCCACAGCAGAGTGGGGGGACTAGATGGTCTTTGAAGGTCTCTTCCAACCCAAATAAAATTATCATTCTATGATTTCCTATTTCAGCACTAAAGTAAGAAGCCTAAAATTTGCTGGTTCTGACAGTCTGAAATACCATTAAAAGCAATGTACCTTTTCCAAGTACCATCTATGGTGTGTTTTTTTTCAAACAGAAAAACATTAACATCACTTCTCTCCTTCTCAACTTCTCCCCCCCCTTCCCCAAAATGGGGCAACACAAGGAGTTTGCAATGAGTTTTAGAGTCTGTGACTTTCTTATTCCAATCCAAATAGCATGAAAAGAGGGCATAATAAACTGTTATGTTCAAAGATTTACCTTTCTAACAAGAGGGAAGATAGAGTGGCAAAGTACAGAAGAAGGGAAACACTAGGAAAGAGGAAAACCATGTGTGCAGTGTTGCCTCCAGGCTTTATGTTCGACAGAAACAAAACAAACCATGTACAGGAAAATAGAATGCTTATTTCCAGTGAGAAATACACAGCTTAATATCCCAGCTAAAGCCAAGTGGAGAGTACAACAACTCTGTGTATCCCTGTCATATGGCCAAGGTGAGCATTTGCTTTCTGCAGAGTGGCCTTGGATGGGCAGAGAGACTTTTTCTGTATGTCGGAGATTATGCGACTGTTACATCCGATCCCTACTTCAAAAACCACGTAGTGTTTCCATAGCATGGTAATGGTTGCAGGTACAGGCATCAACAACAAGTGAGGTCTAGAGAAAGGGTGGAGGGGACACCCCAGGCTGCTGGGAGCAGTTAAAGCCCATAAGAAAGGTTGGTACTTACTACTGTGAACAAAAAGCTCATTTTTAATTAAAAGCAAATCCCAAGAAGAGTGTGTTGCATCAGTTGGCAGCACACACAGATTTGGGGCACACTGGGGAGTTCTTCAATGTTGACCCCCGTATCTTTTGTCTCCTGCCTCAATAAGCCATAGAGGTGTTCAGATGCAATTCTGTCAATGTGCTCTAGAATCACCCTGCTTGAGCTGGGAGGTTGGACCAAATGATCCACTGTAGTCCCTTTCAACCTGATCCATTCTGTGATTCTGTGGTATTTGGGAATTACTACAGAGGTAGACACAGCACCTAAACCCCCCTGTGCTTCCTTGACAGGGTGCTGAGGGCCAACAGTGTGGCACTGTTCCCATTCATGCCCCTGTGTAACCATGGACCTGTGGCTGGACTCCAGGTTTGTAAATACTTCACCTGAGATCAGGTGCTGGCCTGGTCCCCAGCCAACTCTAGCGGCAGAGGATTGTGAAGGTATCTCAAAAGCTTGTCCCTTCTCTTGTAGTAAAGGCAATCACTGAAGTAGAGGC